ATATATATATATATGCAAGGTGTCCCGTAATCACCGCTCATAATACATATTTTTAGACCCCAGTTAAAAATGAAGTGAAAAAAGAGTACAAATTTAGATATAAGCGAAGATTTGATTGCATGAATAAACTTTGATGTGTTTCTAATAATCATACTTCAACTCCTCGTTGTTTCTTCCGGTAATCAAACAGGTTTTGATGTTTTCAGTCCCTCCATCTTCAATAATTTTGTATTAGATTTTGACAGCATTTATATTTTTATCCAAGACTAAATATTAAATTGCGATCCTTTAAGTGCAAAAAATGCATATAATTTTACATTAAGACATTCAATACAAAAAACTTTGCATTGTTAATTTCTGCTTCAAGAATTCGTCACAGTATTTTCTATAAAAAAATAATTCCTTTTGCATATTTGCACACAATTTCAATTAGATCTTAACTGTTTTATTCCTCAACCTACTGAAGTCAGGGGTAAAACTTACTGGAATTCCTGATACTTCAAGTATAACTTGTGGAACACAATCTTGCCAAAGCTCGTCGAAAATCTTTTGTTCTATTTTCCTTTTGAATTCTGGTGTATAAGAGTGTCCTTCTCTCATCTTGACAAAAAGTACGGCCCTGGTCTCACCATCATCTCTGTTCTGTCCTACACAAATGTAGTCCTGGATTTCTTCCATGTCGTGAACTAGGTGGTAAAATTTAAAACACACGATTTAATTTTAGTCACATAGCAACTGCTTCGATTCTAAGGAAAAAGTAACCACAAAAAACATAAAATGATTGACCGATAGAAAATTGGACACACATTATAGTGCAGGAAATATAGTAGCAGTATCAGCACTACGCTTCATTGTTATAAATTACGACAAGAAGTGTGCACCATCCAATGCGTGTAGCTGTTTGACGATTTCACATGAGAGCATTTAAAGTTGCTGTAAAGTCAGGAAAAGATGAATGCGTTAAGAATAATACGAAGTAGTACGCTTTTTAATGTTAGAAGGTAATGTGGACATAACTGAATTGTTGCGGTTTAAAGCGAACGTTGCCTATTATAGACAGTTATGAATATATGTAATGTTTTCATAAACGGTATGTGACATCGTTGTATTTCTCAATACCCAAGGTAAGCAGACATCTTGATCACCAATGAATTCCTATCTGTATATGATGAAACGATAATTGCTAACTGAAGACTCATCGTTGCAGCATTTTGCATAAGTAAAGAAACATTGCAGCAATCTCATTCCGCTATTAAAGTCATATAACTTAGCTTGTTCTCAGCGCAACTTTACATTCACTTTAAATGCTCTCATGCGAACTTGGTAATTATGGCTTTGCAACTATTAAATCCTATGTACGAAAGTTCACACTGGCATGCAATTTTGTAATATAAACGAGCACTCAAATTTCAACTCTAAAAACATCACAGCTACGTTAAAAATCAAGAACTCCATTGATCAATCACAATAAAGAGACCAAAAAAAAAAAAGATTAACGAAAAAAAAACAAAAAAAAAATTACTGCGCATAAGCTGCAAGTACATAAGACTCATAAAAATTAAAAAAATATATATATTTAAAAAAAACTAGAGAAATGTGTTTTTAAGGAGAAAAAAAATTATTAATAAAATTGTTTACCAAAATTTAAAAAAAAAGTATCGAAAATTAAATAAGAAGAAGTTATAATCTCGTTGTCAATTCACACGAACATATCCGCATATAAAAGTGCTTTCTAATATTGTATTAATACAGCCAAAGCAAAATATATCAATACAATAGTGCACGGAGCACCAAAAAAATTGAAACGAAAATATGACACATTAAACAAGAATTGCAAAATTAAGCATCAAGTAAAAAATAGAAAACAAAAATTCGATAAAAATACAGAATAAATCGCAAAATGTAACATATAAAACGAGTCGCGAATTTAGTTTTCAAATGTCTTATACATTTCCACTTACTAGCATCTTTCAAATAAGTAAGTAAGATATAATAAATAAGTAAGTAAGATATAATAAATAAGTAAGTCAGATATAATAAGTAAGATATAACAAATAAGTAAGTAAGATCATAATAGAGTGAAATAAGTAAGAAGACGCCATGAAATGCATCCCAGTATCCGCTATTTATGCTTTTATTTTCATAATTATAGATAAAATATTATTTATGACATTAATATATATAAACACTTTTCGAAAAAACTACCATTTGCATTAACTACCTGAAGCATGCTAAAAACAAAATTAAAAGATGCTTGGGCAAATTGGTTGGAATGGTTTGTTACAAAGCAGGGAACTTTGTTGAACTTAGTGATTAATTATAAGACTTTTTCAGAAAAAAATTTCTGGTTTCGATAATAGGATGAAGCCAACTGTTTGTTCTTATCTCATTCATTTTTTGTTCTCATAATTTTTAGAATCGTCGGTCATTTTCGCGACATCCGGTATTGGAATGGTAAGAAACCTATAGTACTTAAAAAAAAAAAACATTTTAATGGTTTTATTATTATTATTTTTTCAATTTATTTTGCTTGATGCACAATCTAAGTTAAAATTCTTAAATAATACTTTCAGAAAACAAGACTAAATTTTACAAACTTAACTTTAACTAAACGTGATTGTGTATTGCTTTTAATAAGAACTAAAATATCACTTACTTGCAAAATAAACATCTCCTGCACCAAATCGTTCTCCAAATTGCTTAAGCGTATCATCGCTAGAAGAATAATAATACATTCTTTCGTACACAAAGCTAATAATATTTTTAATATTTAATTTTTTTAAATATTCACTTCTAAACAAAGACAATATAAGATCTTTTAGGCCTACCCTGAATACAAAGTTCCGAAAAAGTTTCTAACATTTCAATTGGTAATATAAAGCAAAATAACTGGAAGAACTTTTGATAACATGATTAAAATTTAAAGTATTAGACTGCAAATGGACTAAAATTGATAAATAACTTGTGCAAAATATTATTTAAGACTTAAAATCTGATACAGAGAAACATTTTCTCAGAGACTTTATTTCGATGGAATTAGTTCCTAGATCACGCAAGAGCGGTCAAAACTTAATGCATCTTAATGTTTGATGTTTTTGCACTCTATTTTCGCGTTTCTTTTCTTTGTCATTACTCTAGCACTCAAAATCGTTTGTACTAATTAATAAAACTCGTTTACATTAAGACAGCATCAGGAAAAAACGTTTTTAATAATTATTTGCAAAAGATCAAAATTTTTTAACAGCGAGTCAAAAAATTTTAAGTAAGTAATTTCAATGGAAAATTTCATATTGTGATGAATGAAATTACACTGGATCAAATGAAATTCCGCTGGAATATGTGCTTTTTAGTACTAATGTAAAGTAAAATTATAGAAAAAAAGAGTAAAACTTAATAACTGTACTATAGTAATAATATTTTTGCTAAAGGAGTATTGCGAAATTTTATCATTGTCTTGATGGAAGTACATGCATAAGATCAAGTAAATAGAAATAAAGTAAAATTAAAAAATTTTAAATGAATTTAGAATAAAAACATAAGATAAATTAAGAATCAGTTGAGTTAAATTGAAAAAGAAGATCAAAAAAGAAGAAGTCAAACTAAGAACTAAGAAGCAAAATAGTATAAAATTTGGGTAGTGTTTTTGTTTTAAGGTCTTATTTTTTCTTACCTTCTGCCAATTACAACTAAGCCTTTTGTGTCCGGATTAATCCATATTTCATCGTTTTGACACCAAACACCTGAAATATAATTAAAAATAATTAAATTTAAATTAATCAATTGATCAATTTTTTTCATAAGGATTTGAACAATCCAACATTAATCTACAGCATAATATTTTTTAAAGAAATAATTGCTTAAACTTATGTGATTTTTTTAAAAATCTATTCCTAGATAAATTTATAAATATATTATTAATAATTACTCAAATGCATGGACATCACAAATGAATATTAAATACTCAAATCCAAAAGTAAACGATTTATGACTAACAGATCCCCAAATTCAAGTCCATCCCTAATCCTCAATCATAATTTACAAATTTCTTGTGTTTTTAAACCTGTCAAAAACAATTATTTGTCCTTAAAAAAAAAAACTTATTTTAGCAGATATACGAGTAAATCAATGAAAGGCTTATCGATTTTAAAGAATAAAGTGGATTTGATAGTCTTAATACATATAATATTCCTAATGGTATCAGGATTTAAAAAAGATTTTTTTAAAAATTTAAACTATCATTTAAGACCTCTAAAATTTAGACTCTTCCCAAATTACTAACATTACTGCGGATTTTTAAAATCCTAGTCTTAAATTAAATTAAAATATTTGCATATTAGTCGACACATGTTAATACTTACAGGAAAAGTTGACAAAAACGATATCTTAATCTTATCTTAAGGAAAACGAGATGGAAAAAGATTGCAAGATTAAGTGCTGAATGAAACCTGAAACATTTTATCTCCAGTTAGATTTGGCGAAAATTTTTTGATGTTTTCATTCTCACTTTCCTCAATAATGGTTTAACAAATTTTGATAATGTTTTTACTTGTTTTTCCCTTTGAAATAAAATCCTATTATTATTAACATTATATGCAAAGATATGTTATAATGTATTTTAATCAACACGATGAAACTGTTGTTTACCAGGATATTTGGATAAGTAAGTTTCCTTCATTATACTGTGATCTTCATCCTTCCAAATGAAAACCGGTAAAGAGGGGGTTGGTTTGGCTAGAACCATTTCGCCTCGTCTGTTCAGTACAGATTTACCTTAAAAGTAATTTACACAAAAATGTTTAATATGATAAATCATGTACATTAAGAAAAAACAAAGAATAAATCACTATTATTTTTAATCATATTTTTTTGAATTATGCACGAATCTAAGAATCCTAATGTACGTTCCGAAAATTCAAAGTCAGAATGTAGATCAATGACATAAAAAGCTTAAAAAGTTTTTTAAAAAAGGAGAAATTCAAATTTCAATGTAAAAAATAAAGCAGAAAATCTTTCTTTTCTTTTTTCTAATATTTAGAATATGTACACAATTGGAATATGTATTTGAAATGTACACAAAATTGTTTAATAGGATAAATCATGTGCATTAAGAAGAAAGAAAAAATAAATCACTATTATTTTTAATCACATTTTTTTTAAAATTATGCACGAATCTAAGAGTCCTGATTTACATTCAGAAAATTTAAAATTAGAATGTAGATCAAGTACGTAAAAAGCACAAAAAGTTTATTAAAAAAGGAGAAATTCAAATTTGAATATAAAAAGTAAAGCAGAAAAACTTTCTTTTATTTTTTTAATATTTTTATTATTTTTAATCATATTTTTTTACATTTTGCACGAATCTAAAAGTCCTGATTTACATTCAGAAAATTCAAAATTAGAATGTAGATCAATTACGTAAAAAGCACAAAAAGTTTATTAAAAAAAGAGAAATTCAAATTTGAATATAAAAAGTAAAGCAGAAACCCTTTTTTTTTATTTTTTTTAATAATTTTATTATTTTTAATCATATTTTTTTACATTCTGCACGAATCTAAAAGTCCTGATTTACATTCAGAAAATTCAAAATTAGAATGTAGATCAATTACGTAAAAAGCACAAAAAGTTTATTAAAAAAGGAGAAATTCAAATTTGAATATAAAAAGTAAAGCAGAAAACCTTTCTTTTATTTTTTTAATATTTTTATTATTTTTAATCATATTTTTTTACTTTCTGCACGAATCTAAAAGTCCTGATTTACATTCAGAAAATTCAAAATTAGAATGTAGATCAATTACGTAAAAAGCACAAAAAGTTTATTAAAAAGGGAGAAAATCAAATTTCAATATAAAAAATAAAGCAGAAAATTTTTCTTTTCTTTTTTTTAATATTTAGAATCTGTACACAATTAGAGTATGTATTAGAAATGTACACAAAATTGTTCAATACGATGAATCATATACATTAAAAAAAATCAAAGAATAAATCACTATTATTTTTACTCATATTTTTTTTAAATTATGCGCGAATCTAAGAATCCTAACTTACATTCAAAAAATTCAAAATTAGAATGTAGATCAATTGCAGAAAAAGCATAAAAGGTTTATATTAAAAAAGAAGAAATTCAAATCTGAATATAAAAAATAAGGCAGAAAACTTTTTTTTTCTTTTTTTTTAATATTTAGAAGATGAAAAAAACCTTTTTAATTATTTATATTTTGAATATTTCTGATAATTATTATAACTTAAGAAAAAACGTGATGTTTTTCTTTATTTAACGAAAATTAAGATTTGTATTAGGAGCTTTAACTCTCACAAAAAAAAAAATTAAAAGTTGCTTGGTAACAAAATTATTTATAGAACTTCATCTGGCAACAATTACTATTCCAAAACTTATCATACGTCTTCTGGCAATGAGAACGAGTTATCTTAAGTATTTCTCCAGCCTCTTATAGGACAGGTTGTCCATTTTATGTCTTCTAAGTGCTTTTTAGCTTTGAATATAATTTTTTTTTGTGTTTAAGTTAAACACCAAAGCTCTTACACATCAGTAAAGAGTTTGCAGAGCACCCTAATGTAGAAAACACCATCCATTGCGTGGCATTTAGGAAGTACATGCTTAAATCATTGTAAAATAAGAAAAATAATCGTTTTAGTATTGCTAACATTTTATTTTTATTAAATTTGTTTATTATATTTAACACAAACTGCATTTTCAGAAAATTATTTTTATAAAATTTGATGGCGCCACCTATCGGTTTGTAAAGTAACTACAGAGTTAAGTAAAGCAGTTCAAGAATTGGGTCAATATCAATATAACTGATGCAACCGAAAATAAAAATAAATAAACACGTTTACCTTTTTGATCAAAGCATTTCACATCCATTCCTAGGCCAGGAGCTTGAATTTCTCCTGCGTAACAAGGCAAATTTAAATCAAATCCGGAAAATGTTCCAAAACTTTCTGACGCACCTACAAATTAATTTAGTTAGACATCTCATAAAATAGAATAAAAAAATTGAAAAATGTTATGATTAAGCATTACCATATTGACTACAAGTGAATACGTTGCGTTTGACCTTTTCTTTGATGAATAAATAGTTTTGAACTTTAACAGGACTTCCACCCATAGTTAAAAGCTTTAAATTACTCATATCTAAATCTGATCCTAAAAGAAAGAGATAAAAAAAAGCGTTCAGGAAATGTATTAATTTAAAAAGGAAATATCAGAATTGTTAAATAAAAAGTGCTACCAGATGCTACAAAACTTATTTCAGATGCTACAAATACCATAAGATGTGGTATCTTGTAGTTTCTGGAAGAATTTTATTTAATCTCAATTGCTTTGAGCGATAGTTGTTATAAAAGCGCCATAAAAAGGGACTTTTTAGGATTAGATCCATGCAATAGCTTATAGTATTCGTATGTAACTCATTTGGTTTATTCTTTGGAAGGAATTAAGATGTTCCACCTGGCAAAATAATTAAAAGTAATATATGCAAGGTGTTTTGTAAGAACCGCCCTTAAAATAAATATTTTTGAATTTTCTAAAAAATGACGGTGGAAAGGAAATCACAATGGGGATCGCTAACTAATATTTAAACCAGGAACAAAGAAGAACCATACTGAAACTTATTTTGTCTGTACCGTATCTGAATCAATATGGGGGAAGGTAGAATCAAAATCATCTGAAGGCTCTTATTACCACATTTCAACTCTTCCCTGATTTTTCAGGCAATCAAACGTATTTTGATTTTTCTTTTAACTTGGCATTATTAAATCGTGATTCATCGAATTTCTATAACGGTTTTCCCTCGCTTAAACTTTCACTTGCAGTTTCTACTGGGCAGATTTATGACTTGATTTTTGACAAGGTTTTTAAAGATATAAGTTAAAACAAAACACACTCCATATGCACATACATATGTCTTATTATATAACTATAATTAACATGTCTTAATAACAAAGCAGTTAACTTTCCGCTATGAACACCTCACATCAGTAATGTCAACATTTTCCAAGAAGGAAGCATCACCATTCTTTTAACCCTGCGCCAAATGGCTGGAGTTTGATCCTCCGAGAATTCGTACTGAAAAGTAATGATATATCGTATGGTAATATATAAGTTTTGTTCTTTACTCTTGTGCTTTTTCTGCGGTTCAATGTTGCACATGTTTGTGCATGTATGTGTTTTTTAAATTTGAAGTCCATGAATAATTTTTAAAAAAAAATATAACCCCATTATAACTGCTTTTAAATTTATTATTACTAAAATTTATTATTACTAACATCAATTTATTAATTATTGCTGCAATTAAGTTAATCATAATGCTCACAACAATTCATAATGGATATCAAATTAAAAAAGTTGATTTAAGGTTCTCAAATAAATTAAATGAATTTATTTTAGGTTGCATATTGTTTAATTCGCTGTAATTTTCCTCATTTCGTTAAACATTTGAGAGACCACGCAGCGTCTGAAACTACGCGTTTTCACAATAAGATGATAATAAAAAATAACGAAATTCATCTCAAGGATTGCTAAACCATCAAAAAAGAGCATTAGTTTTAATTTCTGAAAATGTATCACATTTTTGCTTAAGAAATTTAAAAAAATTTGAAAATAAATAAATATAATAAAGTCTGAAGTAATTAAGAATATTTTCAAAAATGCCTATTCTTTCAACTTTGAATGATATTCTCCTCTAAAAATAATTTGTAAAATTACTTTTTTTGATATTATTATTAAAATTTACGAAAGGACTAAAGTCCCTATTATTGCATCATTTCCACATATTTATAAATATAACTTCATAACTCCAAAAATGTTCTGAACTTACCAGGAACTGTATTCATCTTTTCAAGCTTATCGGCAATAATTGTTGCAAAAAAAGAATAAGTAACTTTGTGGCGAGCAAATATTTCCCAAACTGTTTCGTCTTTTCGCTCATAAAATGGACAGCCAGCAAAAAGTAGCAGCTTTACGCCCCACGCGAGGCAAGGAACGAAAGTATCCCATAATGTCCATCCAACCTGCAAAAAATGGAAACAATAAATTTAATTCATATTAATTCTGGCGAATTAAAATAATATGTACATTGAGAAAAAAAAGTATGGTTAAATCTGTCAGAATTTGGAAACATTTACCGTGATTCTGGTTCTATGAGAACACCAAAAAGCTCGGTAATTTCACCGAAGCAATTTGGTAATGATTTTAGTGAAATTAACAGTAAAACATGGTTCCATAATTTGACATAAAATTAGGTAAATGTCGTAAAATTAGGTAATTATATCATCACACTTTAGAGCGTGGAATAGAAACCATTTATTCGGTAAAACTTTATTTAGCTCAAGGAATAAGAACCACTGAATAAGAACCAATAAGAACCAATAATAAGAACCTGAACTGAAATAAGAACCAATTTATCCGGAGAAATTAATTTTTCATTTCAGTTAATGGAATAAAAACCACTTATTCGGTTAATTTACTTTCCAGTTATGAATTTTATACTAGATGTGTGGTAATAAGAATTTTCTGTAAACCGTAACCATATGAAGGTTAAAATAAACAAATTAATGGTTTAAATACCGTATAATTTGGTTTTCAGAACCAATTTAAAAAAAAAAAAAAAAAAAAAAAAACTGGAAATGTAATAATGTACAGTACGGTAATTTCACCGGACTTTTTTCTCCTTGTACAAAATCAATCACTCAAACCAATGTTGATTGACCAATATTCAAGTTTTATTACACATGCTTTATGAGTTTTATTATAAAGTTTGAATATACAGAATCAGATTGAAATGGCAATCAACCCTTTCCCTTTCGGAAATTCTTTGTAACATTTAAAAATTAAAAATCATTCTTTAAAAGACATTTCAATTGGATTAAGAATTTACGGAAGTACTTTAAAAATTCAAATGCGATACTTATTCTTGGGATTTATTATCCAGAATTTTTTTTTTTTTTTTGTCGTGGTATTCCAGTGGTTAGAGAATCGAATTCCTGTCCGGAGGGGCCGGGATTCGATTCGCTAAGACCCACAGATTACAAGCGATATACGTGCTATTAAAATTTGTGGAATCGAAAGCCCTGTGCTCGGTCACTGACTAGTACCATGGATACAGGGAACTGGAGAAAATTTCCTTCCTCTTCAAATCTATCTCTAAATTGAGGATGTAGCTTTACGAATGAGATCCCCTCTACATTGGATTAAATTCCGATGACATGGCTTCGGTTCTGCCTCGGGGATGTTTTCCAGACTGCTGTCAATAGCCCATTGTGCAGTTCTACTGCGACGTAAATAAAGAACCTACCAAAATTATTTTTTTGAAAACAATCAATTCAACATTTGGAAAATTAACATCAGTTGGATTTTTTTTCTGAAGATCCGCGCACTGGAATTTTCTCGCAAAAGCTTTCAAAAATATTTATACAAATATCGTTACACTTTGAGAAATCTTGAAAGATTTTCAATAAATGCAAAATATTTAAAATCGTGATCAGAAAAATATGAAACTACAGTCTTAGTAAATTCCACTTTTACTTTTTTTCTTTTCATTTTATATAATATTTTGCTTTTGATGAGAAAATTAATCCTTCCTTCGTAGTAGTTAGTTTATAATAGTTCTGTGGCGTTTTTCAGCAATGGATTTGTCTTTCAAAATAAATTATCAAATTGAAATTATAATAGCATTGATTGAACTATTTTAGTATTTCTAAGAATAAACAATTGGTTTTTGTCCAGTTAAGTACGTCATGAGTATTCTGACTTGTATTAAGTTTGTCTAAACTCTGCAATATTTCTAAGAAAAGGTTGCAATCGTTGTACTACTTATCGCTGTACCACGTCTTTCTGATATCCATAGTTTGTTAATATAAAAAAAAGTGGAAAAAATTTGAAAATTTCGTACTCTCTTGCATAGGAATTCGTTTTGGAAGGGAATTAACTCCAGATCAAGATGACGATATTTTAGCTTCAAAAAGTATACTACACTGAGAAAAAAAGTATGGTCCAAATTACCCGAATATGCTAAAATTTATCGAGTCTCTGGCTCTATAAAAACATTGAAAAGTTCAGTAATTTTCACTGAAGTGCTTTGGTAATGATTTTGGTAAAAATTAACAATAAAATATTTTTCTTAATGAGTGATAAAGTTTGGTAAATGTAACAAATATTGCGTAGTATAAAATGCGCAGTTTTTATTCCCTAAAGTATTATGATAAAATTTGGTAATTTTATCATGATACTTTAGAGCATAAGTTTTGTATTTTTACTAAATATGGGGTAATAAGAACAATAATTTTGGGAACTAAAATTTCATGTAAACTGTTACTATACGAACGGAAATGTTAACAAATGAATGGTTTAAATAGCGTATATTTTGGTTTTATTAATCAATGTTTTTTTTACGATAAGTGTCATTATCATACAGTCCGTACAGAATTTTTTTTTCTCCGTGTAAACAGTCATTAGGGTGAGGCTGCTGTCCATAGCTATAAAATAATGGAGATGGCCCAATGAAGTAGTCGGCTCTAATAGAGCAATCTACCTCAAAATAAATTTTAAATTATAAATTATGAAAATAAAAAAATATGTATTCTTACTGGATAGCACGTATATACAGTATCACCACACTTCAAATTCCAATAGAACGCAATGCTTACTAAGTGAGAAATCAGGGTCTAAAGATGGTAGATAAAAATTAATAATATAAATATATAAAACTAAAAAAAATATAAGAATTTGAAGAAGAATATTTTTTTCAAGTTGAAAAGCATATCGAAAATAATACTTTATATCAAACTTTTGCTCAACTCCTTATCTTAACCAAGAAATTTAAAGCTAACAGCTTAATTTTGTAAGAAATCTATGTCATTATACTTGCAAGTACATGATAGAAGCATGCACATATAACCTGTAATTCATCATGAACATGCCATTTACAATTACAAACTTCCGATTTAAAATTACATTTCCATAAACTAATAGTCGACAAATATTTAGAAAAGTTAAACGTTTCTAGAAAATGTTACGTAAAGTTTTCAGAAAATAAATATACGGAATATAAATGCTGGCTGGGCTCCTGTATATTAGCTAGTATTAAATTATTTTATTGTTACGGATAATAAATATTGGTGAAGAACGTCACAGAAATATAAACTTAGGCATGAGCAAATAAGTGTACAGATGACGTAACCAAGATAGGGCATGCTCAATCGCACAATTAATCATATTAAATAAGAGCATTTCATATAAGATAAACGGATGAGATGAGCATTAAATTCCAACAATAATATAAATTAAAATAATTTAATAATATTTCACAAGTATTTGCTTTTCAATAATTCAGAGTAAGTATTCAAGCATCCAAATTCTAATTCTACAATATTATTTCATAATTTACAATATTCTTTCATAATTTACAATATTCTTTACTAATTTTGAAATTTTTTTCATTAAAGCAAAATTTTTTAAAAATAAACTTTTAAATTATTATCTATCCACTAATTCAACTCTTAAAAAAAAGCAAGGTTATGAAAGCAATCGAAAATATTTATTATATTTATTTACTCCAGCTGAATGGACAGGTCCTTTTGGAAGACCAGTTGTGCCAGATGTAAAATTAATAGCCACTGGATGACTGAATGGCAACTGCTCGAATACCAGTTCTGGTATGGTACCATCGGCATTCTTACCACTATCTAGAAAATCTTCTAGCAGAATACTGAAAAAAAATAGGAAAGTTATTAATTGACTTCAAAAAATTAAAGAAATAATCACACTCAAAAATTATTATCACCCGCACAATATCCTTAATTACTATCCTATTATTAATAGTGTTTAATATCTTGCCTAGTTACCAGTTAATTCAAGCAAAAGAATGCGAATAAAGCGTTTTGCTTTATTTATACATAGCACAACGTATACTTTATCTTCATTAGGATAGTGACCAGATGTCTTTAATTTTTTACATATCAAAAATTTTCAAATTGATGATGTTAATATTTATTTATTCCAATAACCACAATAAAAAACAAAAGATTAAAATTGTATTGATTGATTCAATATTTTATTAGATTTTAGAGATTTCAAAGTAAAGTTATTTTTGAACGAAAAATATTTTTTTTAACAATTTAAAAGTTATGATTTAATATAATAAACTAGAAATAATGGAAATACATTAAATTCGAGCTTCCAAAAAATTGAACCCTTATCTTATTTATAACGATAGTGAAGTTTTCACTTTTGTAACAATTTCTTCCGATTATTTACAAGTTAGCTAAACTATTACTATTTACAAGTTACTATTATTACTAGTTACTATTTACAAGTTAGACGTTTTTGAAAAGATTACATTTTTAATCAAGTTGATTTATCTAAGAGAAAATATCCCAGAAACATATTTGAAAGCTTTTTATAAATCTGCATATTTTTGGTGGTGTGTAGAATGTTTCTGAAACATGCATAAGATGCGTTTTTGGTTGTGTGTGGCTGTAGGGTTAAAGCAAATAACTATTTAAATACAAGACTTAAAAGGGCTTCAAATACAAGACTTAAAAAACAGTTACCTTTTTGGAATATCTGATAAATCACGACTCTTAGTTTCTTGTTTCGTTGCTACAATGATAACTTTCTCAATTGAAGGAGCATCTGAAAATTTATTAATTTAGCAAGTCGAATGCACAATTCTCAATTACAAAATGCAAAATGGCTAGTTTTGGTTTTCTTAATAACAACTGAATCGATTTTCGAACATTTTTTTTTCTTTTATTTTGTTTCCTTTGTAGCAGGAACTATTTAAACATGATTCAATTAATTCTTTTTCACATTTTTATAGTTTTTGATTTTTGTTAATGTTAAAATTTAACAAAAAAATTGATTTTAATATAGGTGTTAAAACGGCTGAATCGAATTTTAAAAAAACTAAAGTCATGGTTAAAGTTAAGTTATGGTTTATTGCTATGGTGTTCAATTCAATATGGGATTTCTTTTTACCTTGAAATTTTAAGTTGAGTCAATTTAATTTAAAAGTTTAATAAAGATGGAAAATAGGATAAATTAATATTCTAATAATAATGAAGTAAAAAGTTATAATCTAAATAGCAATAATTAAGTATTCTAGAAGAGTATAGAGGAGTTAAACAAACAGAAATTTAAAAAAAATCCGCAATTTTTTTTTTCCTTCAATAATTTACATAACTTATCGTTTCTCATCTTTAGGTATCCAAATTATTTTTGCATTATAATTATAAATTTTTAGTTAATAATTATTATAGTAATAATTCTTTACTTACTAGAAACAATCTCCGCCAGATAATCAATATTGGAGAAGTAAGCACCATTATCAACATGTTTGTCAATAGAAATTAGGAATTTCGCTTCCATTTTGTTTAAAATGTTTAATGCAGCCTAGAACAAGAAAAAAAATTATTTTTATAAATGGGTCAACTTACAAATAGCATTTTAAAAGTTCACCGTTTGATTTTATTGCTTTTAGAATAAATAACATATTAATGACTTGAATACGATCAAAAGGTTTTAATAATAATCCCCGTAAACTATTCAAGTGAGTTTGGTTGTTGAGTATGGTTTAACCCAATGAATCAATATGCTTACTTACAGCTGTTTAAATTAAAAAAGGTTTTTAATATTAAAAATCTGCAAAATAATTTTTGCCTATAAGTACAGGTCAACGAATTAGTTTTTTCCAAGTTCCATCCCTTAACTTATTGAACAGTTCTGATAAAAAGAAGTCACAAAACAGCTGTTTTTTTATTTATGAATGATAGATTTTTCTTCCAATGTTGAAGAGCGGACCGAATTCTGAGTTTATGACTTCAGTGTTCAACTCCATAGCTTTGTAATTTTGAACCCACCCCAGAAGACAAGGGGACTCCTGTAACAAGTTCAAGCATTGAAGCAAACTAGTCTTTGTGGAAGTCTTTTTGTTGGAACTCACGTGCATTTGCGTTACATGGAGAGGAAGACCTCCCACGGTTTGTCCGATATCAAGGGGATTCTAACACACTATCCATCTACCACTAAGAATAGTTTACATCAGCACCGTCGTCGATGCGAGACGGGAGCAAAATTCGTATCAACCAGCCACCTCTAGGATTCGAACCTGGGACACCATTGAGAGGTGAACGCTTTATCCCCTCAGCCAACATGACCCCCCATTGATATTTTAAAATTAACGAAGTTGTTAGAAAGCATACTTTTCACTATCTTAAAAGGTGTTAAACATCTTCTCAGTCAATAAAAAAACACCAGCTGCAGCAGAATGTCTGGAGCAAATTTGCGAGATTGAAAATATATACTGTTAGAATTTTGCTTCCGAAATTACTGTAAAGTAACCGGCAGAAGTCTGTCCATCAGATAAACCATAAAGTTTATGGTAGGAATATTTTTTTTTACCGTTACGGGTTTAAAACCGCTTACAACTGGTACTGTTAAAAAACCGTGAAAACAATACAGCTTTGGAAACCATTTACGACTTAGTTTGAAAGTAATAACCATGAAAATAAAACTTAAACGTATATTGAAGCTCTGTGGGTGCCACGCCATTTATTCGTGAATGTTAATTTCATATTCTGACAGCCCAGAGTGATTGACAGAAGAGTGTAGAACATTGAAAATTTCTTCATGTTTAGAAGGAATGAAAGAAATATCATGGTGTCAACATTGGGATTCAAACCCCTGATGAGCCGGTCATGAGATTGACCGGTCATGAGATTGACCGATTAGTTTTTTCAACTGCAGGGCATTCCCAGCTGCATGGAACAAAATGGCTTCATAAGATGAGCCTAGTTGGCGTGGTTAGAAACCTGGTTATTAAACCGTATTAGGTAAAAACAATCAAGGAACGATTCTTCTCACGCTAAACAGTTTGAGTATCCTCTTTTTTACGGTTATGTGACTGTTTTGGTTAAATATAGTTAAAGAACAATGAAATAAATTGCTGTTTAACCATTTTACCGAAAAATTTATAACAGGGCAAAGGGTAAGCATACATTTTCTCTTAAAATTCTCTTTACAAAAAATCAATCACTTTTGGAATGTACTGCAATATTTAAATAAAATAAATTACTTCAAATTAATATTTGAGCCTTACTAGCTATAATTTTTTTTTAAATTCTATTAAACATAAAAAAGAGGAACATTTAGCAAAATATAAATTTATGCAATAAGTATTACACATATTACTGCATCTTACAAATTCAAAGTAAATTATGCAAAAATAAGTTGTATTTGCAAAGTTTTTAGCACGTTATACAAAACATCACCTTTGTAAAATAAAGCGGTTATAAAACTCAACATTTATCTACTTTTCATTTTCTCAATATTAACCAAATAAATATTAAATAAGTGATAAGCTTAATGTTTTCTTTCCATGAATACTAAGTTTGAAATAACTGAAGTTCATAAATGCTACCTTAGGGCCAAAATATGGCTGTGGACCACCAAATATAGCTCCTATGCTTGCAGCTGCCAGAAAAGTGAAAATAGATTCTTTTCTGTTAGACATATAACCTGAAAATAATAATATAACCTGAGACATACAATTGAAGGATAAAAAATCTAAGTTCATTATCATTTTAGACACTGTGACTGATCATTAAAAGAAAAAATTGAATAAATTATTGAGGAAAATGTAAAGGGGCATTTTAATGTACTTGAACAATTTAGGGACATTAAAAGAGAAAAATAACAAAACAAATTTAAAGCAAGAATTTCATGTACTCTTATTAATATTATCCGTTTAAAAAGAGAGTGTACAGTTTCACAATTTTAAATGCTGGACTAATAAATGAAAAAAATAAAGACTGAAAAATTAGTCGACAAAAATTAAAGTATCAATTTAGTATATTTGAGCAATTAAGGTAAATTCAGCCAATAACATTAATCAATAACCAGACGAGTTTAAAGCATGAATTTCTGTGGCTCTAATTAGTAAAGTTAATATATACATATAAAAGATCACCACATAGATACCCCACGATAAAAAAATCGGGTCTTTTATGCTCTTACAGCAATATTTTTTTGTGTAATGTAATATTAAACTTAATTTAACTTCAATTATAATTACTAACACTGGAATATGAAAAAATAATTGAAATGTTTTATAGACCAAGTGGAACGATCATTTTTCTGCAAAAAGTTGCAATAACATTTAATATTATTTAAATAAAATTACAATCAAAACCAAATTTTTTACAAAAACCAATTACATAAAAAAATTCTCTTAATTTTTTTCGTATTTTATAACTATATTCGTACTTTATTTATTTTAACACTGAATAAAATGGTTAACACTGAATATTAAACACTGAATAAAATGGAAGTTCACAAAAAATTAAATAAACAACAATAACAAAAATAAAAACAGTCGAATTTCAATGCCCGACAGACCAAAAAGCATTTGATTTTTATTTCCACATAAGTTAAGTTTCTTTTTTATCATTTTAGAATAGGCTGAACAATCATAAGATTAGAATTGTTTTAAAACGAATAGAAAAAGGAACTATTTTGTTTTAAAAATTCGTTTCAAACCAGTTTTATTTAGAGATTTTTTCGAACTAATTAATATTATTTTCTTAGGCTATACCGCTTTCAACTGTCACTAAAAAATTTTTGTCCGTTATTAAGCTTTTCTCGTTAAAGTTATCACGTTGCACGTTGCAATAGATGTCAACAAAAAAATTCAAATTCTTTTATGGCAGAAAATGTCCTTGAATTTCTCTAAAAACATCTAATAATTTTTTATGTGAATTAGAATATCAAAAAAAAAAAAAAGAAAATGGAAATGCGCTTATTTTTTTTTAACAAGATAATTTTATCGAACGTAAGGTGACCAGACGTTCTCAAGTCTTGAAGAAAGTCCTCAAATTTCATTGATTGTCCTCAATAATTTTCAAACTTTTTAAGGACCGAAAATGTTTAAATTTTAACATGCGCTCTCAAATGCGCTCAAATTTCTCGGAAAATATATACTATTTTTTAATATGCTGTAAAATATATTAAAAAAAAATCAAAAATGAGTCTGTTTTTTTAAACAAGATAGTTTTGTTTTACTTACAGAGAGTACAAACGAAAAGCGAAAAAGCATCATTCTAAAACTAACAAACTAAAACGCCATTTTCGTATTTTAAAATAATTCCAGCAAAAAATAAACACATTTTATTAACCATATACCCATTCATTTCATAAGGTTTTAAATGAAGGATATTGTATGATATTTTAAAACTGCTTAGTAATGAAATCAAGAGTAATAAAGATAGATATGACAAGATATTAATTATCAACAGAAAAACCTTTGTTGCACATATAAATTACCATTTCAAATAATTATATGGGTGTTTTCAAATCGTAAAATTTTTCTAGGGCGCTCAGCTGTTTTGTTCTCAAATTATGGTTTATAAATCTGATGACCTTTACTTTTTAGATTATGAAAAAAAAAATTATGAATTAAAAATTTCCCCAAAAATTCTGCTTACACGCAACTGTATCTCCTTTCTGTAAACCGTGCTTTCGAAAAGCCGCTGCATATCGTCGGACTTCTTCGAACATTTGGGCATAGGTTACGATGTCGTCCTCCCCGCCATCTTCTTCATCTAGAATAACAAACAAAATACGTTTAAAATATCACATTCAAGGAGAAAAAAACACTCTGGATCTTTGGGTAAATCGGGAAAAGTTACTTGTTTGTGTTACATACCGATGCATACTAATGCTTCTCTATCGTCTCTGTATCTCAGAATGTTCTCAGCAAAATTAAACAATGCCCCGGGAAACCACTCGTTGTCCATAAATCCATCACCAGTTTTTATAAATGCCTGAAAAACATTGCACCTTAAGAAGATCTACATCTGCACCACATTAAATTTTCAAAGTCTTTAATAATACACTGTCAATTTGTAGTTGATAGAGTATTAACAATGTGTAAAAAAATGTGTAGAATGTTCTGCAATCATCGCCCTTACTACATATTTTTAGAAAATATGATAAATAATCAAATTGAGAGAAGTACACATTAGAGGTCAAAAATTACTATTTAAACAAGAAATAAATAAAAGCGTTGAATCTGACGAATAACGATTGAGAAGGGTGTTTCATTTTGTAACCGGCTTTGAAATCAAAGCCTTTTCGAATTTACGACAATCAATGTTTAACTGAATGGCCTTATTAAACCGGTGGACAAAATTAAGAGATGGAAGACATTTTCCCAAATATCTGAAATACTAATGGTTACTGAATAAAATACTGAATATAAATAAATGAAGTTTGGCATGGATATAGCTTATTCCATGATAAAGTATGCAAAACGAAAATGAAAGTGCCAATCACTGGCAAGACCTATTGCCAACAAATCCAATGTAGTCTGAACTTAAGGATAAAAGATGACAATAAAAGTGAGACTTGTACAGTGTGTGTTGCCTCTAGTATGGTGTATGGTCACCCCTGACAGACAGACAGACAACGAGTATGCATGCTCTTAATAAGGGAGTTAAGGAGGACTTGTGGAAGACCCTTCCATTCTTCCACCAGAGCAATTTTTAACTCCAGAATGGTTCTGGGGGGAGGTTGGGGCATCGCAATAGCTCTCCCAAGAGCATCTCAAGCATGTTCAATAGGATTCAAGTCAGGGGATTTAGCTGGCCAATCCATTCGTTGAATATCCTCGCTTTCCAGATACTCATCAACCATGAGAGCCCATTGTCTTCAATAAAAATGAACTCAGGGCCAACAGCGCCCCTTAAAAGACGCACATAGGGCTCTAGGACCTCCTGCCTGTACCGCTGGCATTCACGGAACCATTGTCAAACACATGGAGTGGTGTGCGGGTATCTTGCATGTGCGAATGAATGTGCGAAAATGCTTTCCATCTCTTAATTTTGTCCACCAGTGTATTTTGAACCCACCCCCATGGACAAGGATGCACCTGGATCAAGCATTATTACAAACTAGCCTTCGTGGAGAACTTTTGGAAGGAACAATCCCTCATTAATATTACATTGTGAGGAAAACCGCGAAAACCTTCCACTGTTCGTACGATGACAAGGAGAGTCTAATTCATGATCTGTCTACCACTGAGGATATTTTACGACTGCATGAGGATTACTGTGGTTGGAGACAACATTAAAAAAAATAAATTTAAACCAGTTTAAACCAGATGAAACTAACCACCATTCTTCTACTTTAAGTTTTCTCTCGCATTCCAGTATATATTACGATTTTTTTTAAATCTCGTCTTCTTTGTTAATGATTCTTCTTTGTTATTAATTAAATTGAGCACACAGCTCGTTTCGTTTTTTTAAACTTGTTTAAATGCCATTTTGGTATGTATATATTTTTATTTTTGACAAGGATTCTAAGAATGTTTTATTAAGGATGGTTATTACAGAGCAGTCTGTATAGTGGTATTTTGCAGGAAACCTTAAAATCATGCTTATATGCTAATTTTTAAATTACCTGATCATAAGGCCTTGATGCAATTATGTCAAAATATTTCCAACATTCTTCCCAAAAATTCGGAAAATTTTCTACGCTCCATTTATGAAGGTCCCAATATGAATCTAAAACGGGAAAAAAAATTTTTTTTCATTGAAATACATAAATTAATAATGACTCAAGATTCAAACAATATCAACATTGATTTAATGGCTATATCCAATATTTGTTTTGCATAATGGCGGACACTGGGGTCCATTTCCCATTGGCATCAGAAATGCCAGAACTGCTACTCTCTTTTCGTTACCCAGTGAGCACCTATGGGCAAGCCACGGCTGTGGAGCAGCATCGCCCACGTTACACAACCACAAACCCGTTTATAGGGTGGGTCACAATCACACAATCACACAGAAGAAAGGACATAGAACAGAGAGAGAGAGAGAGAAAGAAATATCCATACCTTGAGCGGGAATCGAGCCCGCTACCATCGGCTCCGCAGTCAGGCACGCTGACCACTCGGTCACATGGTCGGCATATCCAATATGGTATTGCTAGTCAATTTCCATTAAATCGCTCGGATTCACCGAACAAATGTCCAGTCTGTGGATTTATCTTTCAAACAACTTTTTTTTTCCCTCTGAAATTACCTTGACTTTTTAAAAGCGTTCTAAACATTTTCACCTTGTTAAAAATTATTTACTCTAAATGAACTTCATTATTCTTTACGTTTCTTCATATTCTTGCTGGGAACATTCATGAGACAGGCCAGTTCTGAATGAGTTTACAGCAAGGTGATTGGACGTCCGCAAATTTCATTGATTGTGCTCAAAAATATTCAAATTTTTTAATGGACAAATAAGTGTTTAACATGTGTTCTCAAATGGTCTCGAATTTCTCAGAGCAGTAAAATCTTTCATGCGCAGGGCATTATCAAAATAATTAAAAAGCGCATGTTTTTTTAAACATGTTTTTCTTACGTAGAATACAAGAGAAAAAAAGTATCTTGTTATAAAGAAAATAAATAAAAAAAACCAGATGAAAATGCCATACTCATCTTGAAATAATTGCAGCAAAAAATTAAAAAAATTTTAAAAATGATGTACTTCCTCATTTTACATGATTGCAAATATTGTATATTATATAATATTTTAAACTACTACGTAATGAAATCAAATGTGATGAAGATAGTTCTACACTTAACATTACTTATTTTTAAAAAAAATTGTTGCACATTTAAATTAATTTTTTTCATAAATAAATTAGTGTTCTCAAATCGTAAAATTTTTTCAAGGGAGCTTCGTTGATTTGTCCTCAAACCGTGATTGATAAATCTGGTCACAATGGTGACAGTGAAAAAACTCTTTGAAATTGAGTGACACGAGCATCATATTGAATCAGTTGACTAATTCATTAGGTTGTAAAAATACTCGCCATTTTCATCTAAATTATTTTAAAATTGTTTTTAACGAAACAATTTTTCCTGTTAAGCGTTGTACCTTTCCTCAACTTAAGTTTTATAATTTGTTTATAATTTGCACCTTTCTCAACTTAAGTTTTATAATTTGTACCTTCCTCATCTTAAGTTTTGTAATTTTTTTATAATTTGTACCTTCCTCATCTTAAGTTTTGCAATTTGTTTATAATTTGTACCTTCCTTATCTTTAGTCTTATAATTTGTTTATAATGTGTACCTTCCCCAACTTAAGTTTTATAATTTGTTTATAATTTGCACTTTCCTCAACTTAAGTTTTATAATTTGTACCTTCCTCAACTTAAGTTTCATAATTTGTATCTTCCTCAACTTAAGTTTTATAATTTGTCCTAAGTTTTATAATTTTTTTTAATACTAAAGATCTTTTTTTCTTGTACAGACAACAAATTCTTGTTTATAGATTAAAAATTCACGTCAAATGTTTTAAGAACATGTTTATCATAGGTTTTTAGGTAATACTTACTGTTAAAAAGTCGGGATCAAATTGCGGTATAAGGTACCAACGCTTTGAACGCAAAACTCTACTTTATCGTAATATATTATACCCTAAACTTCACAGTAATATTTATTTAATTAGAGTGATTCAGTGAATTTAAAATAAATATTACTGTAAAACTTACGGTGTATCAGAGTTTTTGCTCCATAACATGTTCCGGTAAAAAGTGCCGGCACCCTAAGTACACACTTCTTTACTGTAATTTTTCGCAGTCCACATTTCATAACTTCAAAAACAAATTATCTCATCAACAAATACCCGAGAAAATAGTTTAAACTTCAAATAAAACTTCAACTTTTTCTCCCCTGCGATGACAGTTAAAATTAATCACGTTTCAAATTTAATAATAAAAGTTTGTTTCAATATGTGTGTATTTTTTAAAAAAAAATATATGAGTTTTTGTAAAAACGAAAATATAAAAAAAAATCTTGTTTTACTTACCAAATTTTTGGTTGTATTTCTGTTCAATTATCTTACTGAACTTTTCAAGAGCAGTATTGGGCACTTTTTCATTCCAAATCAAAATAGGTCCCTTATTATTCAAAGAAGGAGATTTGGATTTCGGTTTTGCATCTAAAATAAAGCAAGAAGAGATCATGTTACTAATTTCATAGGATTTCAGAATATCTTTGTTGTTGTGTTTACAACCAAAAAGAAGTAGCTCCCTTAATCTTTATAAAATTTTACTCAACACTAAATAACGATCTTTTTGATAATTTTGATTAAGGATACGAAAGATTAAAGATAAACAGAATTTTTTTATATTGTGGACTAACTCTACAAGGTTGCAATTTTCAATTAAAACAAAACCTCTCTGTTAAAAAGTTATTTCCCATGTCATCACACAATTCTTGAACTTAAACTGATTTTTAAAAAAGAAAAACTGAAAAAAATACTTTAATGTAGTATGTTGTTATTTTCGACCATTACTTTTATCGTTTAGAAAATCTAATCTTTACACATTTTCAAATTCTTATAAGATATTAAGATACTTTTTTGTTTCATGACATATTATTATATTATATATTTGTTTTATTTACGTGCTAAATAAATTCCGAATAAAATTTCCGTATAAACACTTTGGTTGCATCATCCAAAAACTTCTTTTTTATTGTAAATTATAATACTCTGGCTTTTGCAGTATGTATTTAATTTGTATGATTTAGTGATTATACGGTAACTATTACTGTATTTAGTCCCATAGCATAATTCGGTAAAAATGGATTTTACGGAAAAAAGTTATTTGATTCGGAATTTTTTGCTGTACATTTTCTTTTAAGTATACAAGACCTCGAAAAATGAGAAAAAAAACATTTTGTATGAATAATTAATAAAAAAAACGCAGCTTTTATGACAGGAGTATAAGAAATATATATTGGGCAGTTTTCGAGCATGAGATAGATCTAAAGTTCTGAGAACAAACAAGCTCTTATTTGATATTCACAGTAAACATTTTAGAGTAAATCTTTAGTTCTGTTTTGTGACAGAGTTAATATAAAATATCGCCAAAGCTTTCCATAAAAAATAATTTTTCCTTCCAAAAGGGTCAATTTTGGACATTCATAGTGTCAATCTTAGTTGAGCGGGATTAACTGGAGGGGAAGGAGCCTGGTCAAAGACAGGGAAGTGTGGAGATAAGGACTCGAGGCCTTATGTGTGCCAGTTCGGCACGAAGAGGATAAGTAGGTAAGTAAGTAATGTAAATTGCGCCACTGTAACACCAAAAACTTTTTTTAACTAATGTCTATATGTTTACAAACGAAAATAAAATGATAAATTTTAAATAAGATAGTCAGTTGATAATATCTTTCATAAAGGGCAACAATAGATAAATTATATAACTCTATGAAAGAGCACTGTTTGTTAAAAGAATATTGAACTTTGCATTGTTTCCAAATAGGTACTTTTTATGCTTCGAAAATTTTTTATTAGATAACAGTACTATACATAAGAAAATTTTATGTCCTACATAGAGACTGTGGTATTTTACATCTAAAATGCTTCTAAAAACCGATCTTACGAACAATCTGAAAAAGAAGTATATTTTCATATTGCCTCAAAAACTTTTATCTGAAACACTAAAATCTGTCGGATATTAATCAAAAATGAAAGTTATTTATTTTGCTTTTTGTTTTGTTATTTGTAAAATTTGTTTAGATAAGAAAAATGCACGATATATAAGCATATATATATATATATATATATATATATAAGCATATATCTATATATATAAAAATCTCTCGTCACAGTTTTAGTGGTTAAACTCCTCCTAAACGGCTGGATCGATTTTGATGAAATTTTATACGTATATTCAGTAGGTCTGAGAATAGGTTTATAACTAATGTTTTTTCATATTTTGGGCAAATTTAACGTATATTTTAAATATATCTTTATTTAAACGATTCCAAACTAGACGTAGAAACATAATTAATCAAAAGTAATATTCACACACGTTGCAACAAGTCATATTAAACTTTAATACTTACGCTCGCCCTTAAAAGAAGAACATCAAATATATTTGCAAGTATGTGAATAAAGGCAGTAATATGGCAGTATTTCGAGTTGAAAATACCAATGTGACTGCTCTTCCAGTGAATAACAACG